GGAAACTTAGGGTGGGGGAGTGGGATTGGGAGTATAAGGGAAAGAGATGTGGCAGCTTCCTGGTCCTCAACTCCAGTGTCCCTACCTCTTAGAAAGGAGCAGAGGTAGCTTCCGTCATGGTGACCCTGAGGAGATAGAGCAGTTCCCTCCAAGGGGAAGTAATAAAGCATGAACAATAATATTAATATAATAATAAATGCAGAGACCATTTATTAAGTGCCCATTATGTACCAGATACTTTCTTTGCATGGTGCCATTTAATCCGGGGAGGCAGATGTTGTTATTTCTATTTTATCACTGATGAAACAAACTCCAAGAAACTAAATAACTTGTCCAAGGCAGGGTGGGGGTGAGGAGTAGGTTGAGGGACACCAAGGACACCAGGGACACTGGCTTCCAGGTTCGTGCCCACGTTCCCACACCACCCTGCAGAAAGGCGTGTGGGGTAAAGCAGAGTGGCTGGCCCTCAGGCATGGAGGATGGAAGTGCTGAGTGGGTACTGAGGCTACTCCAGCTGGGTTGCCCCTCTGTCCCYTGGAGGGTCCAGAGAGGACTCTGAATAGTGGGGGCTGAGGCCTCGGTGCTGAGAGAGATGAGGGTATCAGGGGAGTCGTGGTACTGAGAGTTCCACTCTGGGCACCCAAAGGCCTGCGTTCTAACCAGGACTGTGCCTTCATTTGCTGGTGACTATGCTGAGTATTTGGATGATGGCTAATCTCTCTCTCTTTTATTAAAGGGTTCTAGGATTTGGAGAATGGAAGGTCACTTCTGGACTTTCCTCCTTTTGAAAGGTGTAAAAAATTCACATTCCCTGATGATCCACTTGTTTGAACTCTCAGACGCAGGATGCCCTGGACCTGTGGCAAGCATGAAGTCTGTGCTCACCTGGGGACAGGCTGGAAGCTGAGGGAGGGGCAGGACAGAGCTCCCGTCCAGCTCCAACCAGTGATGGATCACCTGGTCTCTTGTTGCCTTAGAGCCCCAAGGATTCCCGGTCTTGCAGTGGGAGAACAGGCACCTGTGAGTCTGTGGAAGACTCAGGGAGGGCCTGGTGTTGGGCACAGCTCTGGCACATGGTCTGGTTTGGTCAGGGGCCAGGCTGCAGGGGAGCAGCAGGCTGTACGATGCTAAAGCAAGAGGCTCCCTCCTTCTGGGTGCTTTGCCAGGGAACRGTCCAGCTTTGGCTCCTCAGCGCCTGGAGACACAAGGGTCTGGCTGGATTCTTGAGGTGGAACAAGAACTGGTGAAAAATCCAGGGCATGAGAGTCCGAGAGGCCCATTGAGTCTGGGCAGGTGCCTCATTTCCAGCCTGGAGGCCGTGGGAAACTCATTTCTATGCAAAGCCCGTGGTTCCTCAGCTGAAAACTGGGGGTAATAATGCCCATCTTGGAAGGTTGGTGAGAATTAAATGAACGGATACAAATTAAGTGTCCGGAAGAGCCTGCCAAAGAGTCAATAATAAATGGAGGCTGCCATTATTATTGTTGTGCTGTTGCTGTTAATAAAATAACAAGGCTGGGGCTGGAGCTCAGTGGTGGAGGGCTTAATCTAGCATACGTGAAGCCCTGGGTTCCATGCCTAGTACTCCAAAAATAAATAAATAAATAAGCAAAGAAACAGATAAAGAAGCATCCTGAAAAAGTGGAAGGGGCAGGGGTCTGGGAGTCAGATTTTGCCCTCGCCCCCCCCCACTACTCTGTGTCTCTTTTCACCCCTCTGATTCCTATCTGTAAGAAGAGGGGGTGGTACCAGCTGATCCCCAGACCCCTTCCTGCTCTGACAGCCCCTGGCTATGAATAGACCAAGCTGGGGCACTGGAGGAGTTTGATGACTCAACAGCTAGGGAGGGTAAGGTTTCCCAAGGAAAGAGTTTCCATTTGTGTTTGGTGAACTTGGAGAACAACAAAGGAAGGGTTTCCTGGCTGGGAGGCCAGGGATGAGGGAGCGGGAGGAACCCTCGAAGCCAGTGGAGACTGTGACTAACCAGGTGAATGACTAAGTCCGGCCAGGCTGACCTTCAACCAATCAGGGATGCCTATGAACACCCTGCAAGCTGGCATCACCCAGCACACTGTGGCTCTGCCAGGCCCAGCTGAGTCTGGGCTTCACAGCATATGGAGGCAAAGGAAGCAGCCAAGAGGCCAGCAGGGAAAGAGCACAGGGCTGGAGTCAGAAGACCCAGCTTCCGGCTCTGATTCTGCTGCTCACCAGCTGGGTGGCTCCAGGGGGTCCTCTTCTCTGACCTGACCTCCCCCCAGCTTCATCTGTACAAGGGAGATATCAGTATCTGCCCTGGCAACTTCACCAAGTGGTGAAGGCTGAGAACCAATCACGAGATGAAAACACTGTGATCACTAAAATACCAGATTAATGGTAGTTTCTGTCATTATTCCATTCCTATGGGACTCCCCATGAGAGTTCCCAAAACAGGTGTACAGGGGCTGCTGCCCTTGGGTTTTGGGTAAGGGTCACTTTAATAGCAATCCAACACAAGGCCTATCACTGCCCACCCAGGTAGGGTTTGCTTAGAGCAGAATCCCTGCAGACAGTTTCCTGCTAGGTGGCATGGTCACAGTGGGAGATGACAAAAAACCTGAGATGGTTAGGCAGGGCAAGGAGTGCCAGTCTGGGGACCCCCAGAACTGGGACGATGGTCTGATGCTGTCTTTCTTCTTGCTCAGCACTGTATAAATAAATAATCGCTGGAACTGCGCTCTGCTTCTAGCCCCAGCTTTTAAGCCTGTCTCTAGGTGAGGACCACAAGCACTTTGGGAAAAAATGGCAAGAATGGAGGAGAAGGGCGGTGCCCTTTCTTTTCTGCATACCTTAGACCCATCAATAACGTTTCCTGAGTGCTCACAGCTGCTGGGTACCGAGCTGGAACTGGGAGTACAGCGGTGAGACCTACAAGGCTCTGCTCACTTGGAGATTAATTATAATGTGGTTAAAGAGACAAACGCACCTTCTAAAATGTGAATAACCATTCAAATGAGCCTGCACTTGATCTCTCAGGTGGTCTTGATAATAAATCCTGTGGTCATCCACAGCAATGCCTGGGAGGCTTTGCAGAGCAATTAGGATTTGAGCTGGACCTGGATGGTTAGCTTGGACAAGATAAAGAGAAGACCCAGAAAAGGCGCACACTTAACGCATCCTCAGGGGATAGTCCGGCTGTAGCAGAGAGCAATCATGTAAGTAAGAAATGAGAAATAAAGTCAGATAGAGAGGTTGGAGCCAGATATAAAGGTTCTTAAAATTGGGATAAGGAGAATGAACTAGATCCTGTGGGCAGTGGGGAATCATGAGGGAGTTTGAGGAGGGAATTGGTTCAGTGGGGCTGTGTTTGGGGAGATTTTTTTTTCTGGCAGTCSTGTCCAGGTAAGGGTGAATTATTGGGGAGGCCACTGTGGAGCTGGGGAACATGGTCTAAGAAAGAAAGTGGGGCAGCAAGCAAGCACTTAGTGTGGGAAAGACAGAGGGAAAACCTGAGTCCGCTGTTAGTCTGATTCTCCAGACTGCTGAACAGCTATTGGAACTCTGGCAGGTGGCAGTGGGTGCGAGAGGAYGGACTGCAGACCAAACCTGGTCTGGTCCTTCTCTTGCTCCTCTTTGGGCAGGTCTTTGGTCTCCAGAGAGCTGCAAGCCTTGGAACAGAGTCCTGCAGTGGATAGAAAGTGCCCAGTTCTGCCTTTTACCCCTTTGACTCCTGTTGACTCCCAGGAAAACACTTCCATCTTGTCAGAGGCCACGCCAAATGGCCATGAGCCCCTGGGAACTCAGCCAAGGCAAGGAGGGGGGTCATGGAGAGAAAAAAGATTGGAGAAAGATGGAGGAAACAGTTCCTGGAGGCATCCCAATTGGCTTGAGGGGAAGGTGGGTTTCCAACTTAGAATCTAAGTACATCAGGGCTGGGAAGAGCCCTTGAGATCATTTTGGCCAGACTCTCCATATCTGGACATTGGCCTGAGTCCCAAACAGGGAAAGGTACTTGCCCAAGGTCATACAACCTGTAAGTGATGGAGCTGGAATGGACTTGTAGGGTCTCAGGAAAGGGTAAAGTGTTTAATTCTGTCTGGACCTTTGAGTAGCGCCATCAAGGGCCTGGCTGGAGACTCCTTTCCTGAACATCCATTTGCATGCTTTGCTGTGTGTGTTGTGTGTGCACACACGTGTGTGCAACCTTGTCCTGTGTGTGCCCTGCGTATATCTGTGTCTATGCTGTCAGAGGATCTGGTGTGCATGTGGCCTCCTACACAGTGATCGGCACTGGCTTAGTAAAGAGAACTGGAGCCATTCCTGTGAGGTAACTGTTTTGCTGGGACAGTGGGGAGAGCAAGGCTGGCAGGTCTGGATCTGGCTTCTAGCACCAGCTCTGCTGCCCTAAGAAAATCACATGCACTGGTTGGTGGTGCCCAAACTCCTGGAGTTGGAGACACACGCGCGCGCGCGCACACACACACACACACACACACACACACACACATACACAACAAGCAGCACTCACAGCCGCAGTTACAGGATGTTCCTGGCACCCAGAGTGGTCGCGAGTGCCGCGGAGTGTCGCCTACCGGCATCTGCACGCCGCCCTGGAGCCCAGCAGGTGTAGACACTCGGGCGTGGAAGCCCATCCGCAGGGACACAGAGGAGTCGCGCGCTCCGGCTGTTCACACTGGGCGCCCTGCCCCAGGGCCTAGCCCGGCCACACCCCTCCTCCTGAGCCTCTGCCAGTCGTCCCTGCCCCTCTCACACACTTCAAATCCCCGGGGGTCCTCGCGTAGCCTGGCGGGGCCAAGTTAGGGCTGGCCTGGCCGGAGATTCGGGTCCTGAGCCAGAAATGCAACGCCTTCTCCGAGTGCGGTCCCCACAGAGCAGACTCGCYGGGCAGAACTCGGGTGCTGGGAGCGCGCGGTTTGGCGCCCAGCCCCTCTCGTCAGAATCCCCCAGCTGCAGCAGGCTCCCGACAGCCCCGGGTCCCCGCCCGCCGCGCGCAGAGTAGTTACCGATGGTGGTGATGACGGTGATGGCGAAGTAGAAGGAGCCGGCGAAGCGCCACTGCACGCCGGCCTTGTGAGGCTTGAGGCGCAGCACGACGCGCTCGAGCTCCTCGTAGCCGCCGTCGCTGAGGTTGTAGCGCGCCCGCAGCTCCTGCTGCCGCAGCTCCAGCCGCTCCCGCTCGATCATCTCGGGCTCGGATTCCAGCGCGTCGAAGACCGCGGCGCCCACCAGCAGGTAGGTGAAGGTGCACACGATGAGCGCCAGCGTGCGCACATTCTGCCGCTTCATCGTTCCCCCCGGGCCGCCGCCGGTCCCCCGGCGCCCCCGGCCCGCGCCCCGGCCGCCGCTGCTGCTGCCCCGGAGGCGGCCTGGGGCATGGCTGCGCTCGCCGCTCTCCGCGCCGGGCTCCCGCTCCGCGCCGCCCCGGCCGCCGCCGCCGCCGCCGCCGCCGCGGAGCTGTCCCTTCAGCACCACCCACCGCCCTCCTCCGCCCGGCCCCGCGCCCGCCCCCGCGCCCGCCCCCAGCCCGCCGGCCGCCTCCTCCCGCCAGCCCTCCCGCCCAGCCAAATAAGGACTGGGGAGCCGCGACGAGGGAGGGGGGCCGGCGAGGGGGAGGAAGGGGGAGCGCGCGGGGAGAGCCCGGGCAGGACACGGGGAGGGAGTGTGGGAGAAGCCGAGGGGGGGGGAGAGGGGAAGAGGGAGAGAGCGAGCGCGCCGGCCCCAGAGCCAGCGAAAAAACTAGACCGGGAAACACAGATAACTACAGAGAGAGGGGGAGACGCAGGGAAGGGGTGTGTGTGACCGAGGAGGCAAAACCAGAGGTAGACACGCAGACCCAGGAAAAGAAGAGGCAGGTAGGAGAATTGCGGGCAAAGGATAGAAACAAAGCCACAGACTTGAGAGTGAGATACCTGGAGAGCTGGAGAGATAAGCAGATGCCACAGAAAGAGAGCAAAGCAAGGAAGGGGAAAAGACAGGAGAGCCCCTCCCCCACTGCCCACCCAGATCATAGCATGTTGTCACTGGAAGGGACCTTAGGCTTTACTGTCTTGCCCCTTATATGGGCAAGGAAACTGAGGCACAGAGGGGTAAGGTACAATTCAGGGCACTCTGTGTGTTGGTGACAGCACTGGGACTCAGCTAAGCTTTCCCTTCCCACAGGCCACACTTCCTCCCCTGCTTGGGGCTCAGGCTGTCTCAGAAACAAGCACGGCCCAACTAGAGACCTGGGTACACATGAGCCCACACCCAAGGGAGAGCTGCTCTCCGGAAATGGGTCCCTCCCAGCTCTGTTCAGCCTCCAGAACTGGGTGAGGAAACAGGCTAGTAGCTCAGCCCAGTTCTGCTCCTTAGGAGCTTTCAGGCTGTCATGTCATCCATGCTTTTGCCCTGCGCCAGTGTGCCAGGCAGGGCTCTGGGCTGCCAGAGATAGCTTCACTGCCATCTTGGGGCATCCCGGCAGGACAGGGATTTGGGGCCCAGATCAGGTGGCTCGGGACTGGAAGGACTGGAGCAGTTTCCCTGTACCCCAGTATCTTCATTTGTCAACACTGTGACTGTTGTGGTGAAGAGAGACAGGCAGGGGACCTCAGGCGAGGTGTCGCTGCCTCTCTCGGAGCCTTCTGTCTTTATCTCTTCCGTGAGGTGTCATAGCAGATGAGCCCACAGTCCTTGCTCAGCTCCTACAGCTCTGGATGGGCTGAGTGAGCAGAATGATTGGAATGCAAATCCCAGTGCCAAGGAGGGTCAAAAAGTCCTTCATGGGACCCTGGCATAGGCCACACAGACATGGAAGAGGCCCAAGGCCCCTTACTGAGGACAGGCTCGGAAGGCAACCAGCCAGAAGCGAGGCACCATCTGCCACATCCTGGGCCAGCCTGTCACTGCCAGCTACCACATTCCTTCTCCAATGGCACCCAGAAGTGCCACTAACCATTCATTCCACAACCATTCATGCCACAAGTATTCATCAAGCATCTGCTATGTGTTTGGCTAGGTGTGCTATATTTGTTATCTCTAGTCCCCACCTTAGTCCTGAAAGGCGGGTCTACTTATCCTCATGACTATTTTAAAGATGGAGAAACTGAGGCTAAAAGCAATGTAGACAATAACCAAAGGTCACTCAACTCCTCAACTTCTCAGCTTCCCAAGGGTTGGGTACAAGGTAGGCTCTATGCACTTATGATATATTGGGTTTTGGTCATATTCACTCTAGAGACCAGTCCCCCCAAAGTCTGTCTTCCTGTGTAAGGGACTTGCTCGACCTGCTTGTCAGAATGAGAATGCAGTGTTTCCAGGGTTTGCTTGTTTCTGGCTGCCAAGCCCGATTGCTGTACAGATGAAAGGTGATAATATGAGTGAAAGAGCTTTGGAAAAAAGAAAAAGCTGTTTGGGGGCAGGGCATTCATTATTAATTATGATAAAGCTCGTTCTTACAGCATTTTGGAACCAGAAAGACCTTTAGAAATAATCTAGTTCAGCCTTCTCATGTTACAGATGAGGAAACTGAGACCCAGGGATGGGGTTGCTGAAAGTTGCACAGTGAGGGAGAGGGAGTGGGCAGAAGCAAGGCTCATGCTCCCTGGCATGCAGCACCCATTATGGATGGGACCAGGAGACCTGTTAGTGGGGAGCACTTAAGACATCCCAGGAGGGTGGCCTGGATCCCCTCCTTCCCTCTTCTCCACCATCCTGTCTCTTATGGAATGGGAACCAGAGTGGAGGAGCCATCCTGGCACAGTTTAGGTTTCTGAGTGGCCCCTGGGACTTGAACGTTTGCATGCTCTCTTGACTTGGGTTGGCTTGTGCTCAGAACATAGCAGCCTATTTTACTTCCTTCCATGCAGGACTCCCTGGGTCTGCCCATACTTGCCCAAGGTCAGCCTGTCTCTGCCTCCTGTTTGCTGTGGCATTTGGGGTTCATCGGTTATCTTCCTGTGCCTTAGCTTGCACATCCATAAATTAGGGGGTGGTTAGACCAGGAAATGTGCACCTTTCTTTCATTTAGAACATCCGAGGACCCTCCGGGGTTGCTTACATCTGTTTTCCCAGTTCTCTCAAGAATTAGGCCAAGAAGAGGAATAGCCACTGCTTTGAAGACTGACAGAGTTAAGATCAATAGTCTAGAATTTGTCATTAGTTGCTGTATTTAATTATACACTAAACATTATACATGATTACTTTCCAACTTCATCTTTTACTCCATTTCTCTGTTAGGTTCTAAACACATCTGAGTACTTTCATGCTTCACGTGACTCAAGTGGCTCTCATAAACTGGGATACTGGTAACTCCTTGCCCATTTGACTGTCAATCTCTTATTCAGGTTTTAAGACCCAACTCAGAGGCCATTCTCTCCGTGAAGAATTCCCTGGTTGCCTCCCCCTAGAACCACCAGTTCTTTTGTTCTTCTACAGACTCATGGGTAAGCTTCAGTTCAGCCTTTCCTCTGCCTAGTAGATTAGATTATCTGGCTCTTTAGTTGTTCTCTTCCCACCGGCTCAGTGTTTTTTCCAGGTAGCCACCCTACTTACTCTCTTGCTACTCTTCCCACAGTGCTTTGCACATCAGAGCTGCCCTATATGTTTCCTTGGTACTTAAGTGAAGGTTTGAAGAATCCTGAACTGCTGGGTTCAAAACCAGCAGCATCAGTGGGAGAGGGATGCAGAGGGCTGAGTCTCAGGCAGAAAAGCTCAGCAATCTGCTTCTGTGACTACAGACAGAYACTTCTAAAGCTGGAGGAAGCCCTGTCAGAGAGAAGGAAGGTACAGGCAGATATCAGTGTCCCAAAGCCCAAAGAAGCATGTCACACAAAGGAGAGGGTCTTAAACTGGGAGTTCAGAGGCCTGGAGTTCAGTGCCAGTGCTGCTGGAGGCATTGGGAGGGCCATATGGCCCATCTGTGCCTCAGTTTCCTTTACTCTGAGAGAAAAGTGTTGACTATATCAGAAGGTCCCTTCTCATCTGATGATCTGGAATACCAATGAGAGCCCTACTCATTCTACAATGGCTGAGAATGTGGCCTGAAGAATGGAAGGTAGAAGGGTGCACAGAGATCCCTCTATTCATTGCTTCTCAGTCCTGCTTTATGGGCAGTTTTGTTGGAGACTGGGGCAATACCAGTGAGAGAGGGAGTAGAGGAGCTGGCCCTGAGTTAGACAGGCTAGATTCAAGTTTCAGCTCTATCAGTTATGAGCTGGACCAGAGCCTCATGTGAAATTCTGGTCCATCCTATGTCTAGACCAGGTATAAGCTCCTGCAGGGCAGGGACAGGCCTTACTCCTGTCTGCACCCCTTATCCATTAGCCAGAGCAGAGAAGGGCTCTGCAAGCTCTCCTCTATCTGTTCCTGTTAGCTTGGCTGACATAGGAGGGTTGGTAGGGCCTGGGGCTCATGGTTCACTCCAGCAGCATCAGTAAGGGACAGGCCAGAAAAGGAGGGGCAGGACCCAGGAGCTGCAGCAGAAAGACAGGGAATGGCTAACACAGACCACGATTCCATGAGCCCCAGATTCAGGCTTCACTTTGGTGAGATTTAGGGTGCTCTGGATGTGATTGAGATGTTTCTTAGTGTATCTCTGCAGGGAGAGAAGTTGGGGATTAGCCTGGCTTTACGGAGCATAACCCGGTCCCATTGCACCCAGCTTGCGTTTGTCAAGAGACACTGTTTGTTTAACATCTCAAGCCCAAATCAAACACAAAAGGCAACTGTTAGCAAAGCAAGCCTCTGTGGGCTGCTGGGAGAGAGCACTGCTGGGAAGCTGGACACCTGGCCCTCTTAGTCCTGCCCCAGTTGAGCTGTGTTACCTGGGGAAAGGGCTGTCCTTTTATGGACCAAAATGAAAGCTCAGACTCAGAGATGATTGAGGCTAGCCCCAGCCCCGGGTTGGGCTTGGCTCTCCTAATGAGGAGAGAGGAACAACTGATCTTGGTGAAGTTGCTGTGGGGTCAGGCCTGCTCCTGCCCGTCACTAACATAAAGCCGAGTCTTTACCCCAAAGCTGCATGTCCTGCATCTGATGGAGCCCTTCTCCTAGACAGGGCCTCCTAAGTGGCCTCCTTCTCTCTGACAATGAGTACTGGCCTGTGATGAGCACAGTGATCACTGTATATTGAGTTGTCCTCTGCATGGCTGTCTTGGTTTACATTCTCGCCAGCAATGTGTGAGATTATCCACTTCATCCTTCTCAAAACTTTTATTTTTCAGTTTTTCTGGTTTTGTCATTTATATGCTTCCCTGCTTTCTACTCCTTCCCTTCATTTTCTCCCTTTTCCTTTCTTCAAAACCTCCTCCTCCTCCCCACACTTGGAGCAGGGACAC